TCAGGTGTTAGATCACATTACTGGTTGCATACTTTACTGCCACTTCTGTCCAGAGTCCTTAATACAGCCATTGTTGGCTAGTGCTTCAAAAATGACAGGCTCCTTCTCCATCTCTTCTCCAGCTTCTATTGGATCCTGATATGCCCACACCTAAGTGGACATAAAAGGGATTGAAGAGGACTTGGAGGCAGTTTTAGAGGAGACTGTTGAATATTTCTTACTCCTATACCCCTTTACACCTGAAGTTAAAGCTTCACGTAATATGTTAGCTAAAGTGGATGTGCCCACTTCTGCAGTGCGTAAAAGGTTCAGCATTGCCACACTTGAATCCATCTTGCCATGCCCTTTTGGGTGCAAAGAGACCTGCAAAATCTACAAAGACATTCCCTATTCATGAACAAATAGAATGGGTAATCTACGATGATTGAGTAACTTCAGAAAAGATTTTCACTCATTTGAACATCATTCATCCAAAGCTGAAGGGTGCAGTTCTAATGGCCACCACCTCCCAGCTGCCAGCTTTCCTAGTGCTTAGGCTCCCCCGATACAGGCTGCTGGGAAGGTATATAATCCCTCCCTTAATTGTTATCAGGGCCTCAGTATTCTGTCTGAACCATGTGCCTATCTGATCTTGTATCTTCTGACCCTCTTCCAGTACCCTGTATCCTGCGTCCAGTACCCTATATCCTGCTTCTCTCCCTGTGTTCCCAGTTCCAGTCCTGATCCTATCCTATCCTTGTGAGCTTCTTCCATTTTTGTACATAGCGTTTGTTAGGTTGTTCTGGGTTTACTGCATAGTCACGGTTATTTCTCACTTTTACATTTTTATGGTTTGTTGGTGTTGGAAGGGTGTTATTCTTGTTAATAAATTTTATTTAATTATACTTGGTCTGTTGTTTAGTTCCTTGAAGTGTAGCCCACTTCCACTGGTCATCCCTGCTGGGTACCTGTATCTCTTAAAGCACAGAATCTTATGGCTCAATGCGTCAACAGCTGATGCTGCTTGTAAGACGCCACACATGAATGCAGTTTGAAGAAAGATGTCTTTGTGGCAAGGAACTTGACATATTCCTTAAAGGATAAGGTCACCTCTTAACAAAAAATAATAAATGCACATTTTTTTTGCAGGTAAAAAAATCTGCATTTGCTTTTTGTGTGTTAGGAGCCTGAAAAGCATTGCACCAGCAATCAGAAGAGCGCTGATGCCATACATCGTGCAGGCAGTTTTACACTGACAGGAAGAGTCATTGAACTACCACAGCACTCAACAGCGCTGTGGTAGTTCATTTAGAACTACAATCTGACAGCCACAAAGGCCATTGGTACTTGTAGTTTATTAATTCACATGGATCTGTGAATCAGTGATGTGGCCATGTGGGAAGAGCCCCACACAGCTGCACTCTTTGTATTGTGGCAGGTAGTATGGGGAGAAGATCCTCTGCTCGCTTCCACAAGGAAGTTGGGGGGGGGGGGGGTAACATTTAAGATGGGTGTAACATTCAAGATGTTCAGAAAGATGAACTTATCCTTTTAAGATATCACAGGAGGGAAGGTTCTACTTCCACAGCAGAAGATTCTAAATCCCTCTCCTCAGGAGCCTCTACTTCTTCAAAACGCAGAGACCCAGGTTTCAACTTCAAAACCTTCAGTTCAAAAGTTTAGCCCTTCCTTTTGGCATAAGCCTTGGGCCACAAAGTCTTCCCTAAAGCCATATTCTCAAAAAAGGTTGGGAACATCTATTACAATTTGCCTCTCTCTGATTACAGATGTCTCAGACCTGTTGGCTCAATTGGTGGTTTTGAAGGAGTACAAAAAGAGTTGAAAGCTATACCCCCTCACCCTTCTCTCCTCTCAAATCATCTAAAATCTTCCCAAGGAGTCAGGTTTGCAAAATGCCCTGAACCATCTCCTGAGTAGTATTTGTGCCAGTACCCCTAGAAGACAGGTTTAAAGGATTCTATTTGTCTTATTATGGACCTAAAATTCCTCAAAAAATACCTTAAAATGCCAAAACTTCCTGATCACTGACATATATAGACTTCTCGCTACAACTGAATCCCTCCCTTTCCATAAGCATAATTATCTGCTTAACTGAGAAAAAGCTTTAGTCTGCATTCTGGACTAAGGGCTCGTTCACACTTGACTGTTTTACCAACGCTTGCCAAATACCCCTATAGCATTTGGCAAGCGTTGGTCCGGCGTTTGCAGAGCATTTTTTAATGCTCGGCAAACACCGCATGCACAGTTTAGCGCGGGTGCTAGGCATTTGCCGAGCGTTAAAAATGCCCCACAAACGCCTAGAATGAAGTTTGAATGGTATTACCGCTCCGCAAATGCCCTGCAACCGCGCCGCAAACACCTTGCAACCCCTCCTATTCTACTGTTCTTTTTACTTCAGTTATGCCTGTAACATTTTTGTTACAGCGCACATCCTTTATTTGGCTTCACCTATGCTGTGTCGCTGCATATGTTTGCTGTCTCACTATTTGTAACCTCAGGGTGATATCGATACCAATTTTACAAGATTTTTAACTTAAATGCTACTAAGTTTTACTGGAATGTAGTAATGTTACTGTACCACACATTGGATCTTTGCATGACAGTATGTCTTCCTGATTTGCTTTCGATGTTCTAGTATGTTACTAGAATGTTCTTTTAGTATGCATCGCTATGCACTATAAATTCATGCATTTTGTATTTCCTTTAAAAGTCGTTCAATAAATAGAAAGTAAAAAAAAAAAATTCCAAAACTTCTTATGGACTTTTCAATGTTGATTATTGCCTGTATGAGATGAGGGGAATACCTGGCATCCATAGACACATCCACCACATCAGTGTTTTCTGCACTTTGCAGTGGAAGATGCATTTCCAGGTTGTTGCACTGCTTTTGGCCTTTCCTCTGCTCCCAGACTTTTCACAAAAGTCCTAGCACCTCTTCTGGCCCTTCTAAGAACTAAGGACATCCAGGTCATAGGTTTTCTGGACAACCTTCTCAGGAAGGACTCATCCACCTTTTGCTGCCTGCAAACATTCACAGGACAGTTCATGTGCTCCAAGCTTTTGGTTGGGTGATCAATTTCCAGCCTGTTCTACAGCCTTCTCTGCACGTGGAATACTTGGGTCTGGTCCTGGACACATCCCAAGCAAAGGATTTCTTTCCAGAGAAGTAAATCCTCTCTTTTTCACAGCTTATGCTTGAAAAGTGGGGTCATAGACCTCTCCAAATGAGATTCTTAATGAGAGTTCTAAGCCTCCTGTTCAAGGCTGTACCATTTACTGAATTTAATTTGAGGCCTCTCCAGCACATCTTGTTGACCTGCTCCTTCTCTCAACTTACCCGTGCACCTGTCCAGCGAAGCAAGGAATTCTGTGTGCTTCGTGGATCTTCAACCCAGTCCTAACAATGCAGCCTTGATGGAAGCAAGCCAGATTATCTCATGAATGAAGACTCATTGTCCAGCAATCTCTGTACTCCACATCCCAGAAGAGGACAACTTGAAAGCGGATTAAGGGTAATGGGCCCTTCACCCCAACTTCAACCTGATATATCAGAGATGTGGGACCCTGGATGTGGATATCCTGGCTTCCATATTCAGCAACTAGCTCTGTTTGTTACCAGACCAAGGACCCTCAAAGTTAATCCCCTGATTTCAGTTTAGACTAATTTATACCTTCATTCTAATGCTAATTCTACCTTGTCTGCTCCACAAAAATAGAGGAAAAAGAAGACACACCTCACACCAAACTGGCCCAGAGGACCTGGCATACAAACATACTGATACTACAAGGAGACGGCCCTTGGCCTCTCCTGAGCAGGCCGAACCTGCTGTCTCAGGACCCCTGTTCCATCCTGCTTCTCAGTTGCTGACTTTAAGAGCATGGTTGAAAACCAGATCTTAAGAGACAGAGAGGTCTTTTGAGCCTGTCATTCCTACCTTGCTGAAATGAGGAAAAGCCACTTTCTATTATCGTATCTGGAAATCTTTTTTTGCTTGGTGTGTGCAGAAGCACATAAATTCCAGAGTTTACTCTGTGCCTCACATTCTGGTCTCCTTACAATCAGGACTTGGCCTTAAGCACTAAGGATAGGTTTTGGGTTTTGTCATTCTTTTTCACAAACCTTTGGTTTTGCACTCCCTTGTCAAAACCTTTGTTCAGCGTTTATCTTTGATCAGGCCCCCCTTTTAACACTCTGTGCTTCCTTGAGGCTTGAACTTGGTTCTCTCTACCCTGCAGAAACCATCTTTTGAACCCTTCAGTGATAGCGTCCATATTGGTTGCTGTCACCTGTCAGACTTGTCATTGCCTGGACATAGTCGAACCTAAAAGAGTCCACCTCGAAGCAACATCAGAGATCACAAGAGCTTACACTCCCAAGGAAAAATTTCTGCCTATGCTTTTATGCGCCCACTCCAGCCAGTCGGTGGGAGTTTTCTGTGCATTCTGGCAAACAGGCCCAGCTTTGTAATGACACCACCCGGTGCTCTGTTCATGCCTTTTTAAAGTTCTACCAGGTGGACATCCAGTTTTCTGTTGCAGCTTCAACCTCAAACTGGGCCTGTATGCACAGTTCTGTTTGCCTAATTGTTGCCCACGCTTCTCATTCAAAGCTTGGGGACATCCCAGGGTCTATAAATACTCAGGCTGTGTGCTGTACTGTGCAACTCAAGAGGAAATTTACTTGCATAAAAAATCCATATCTCCTAGTACACTACACAACACTGGCCACCTATACCCCCTCCATCTTAATCCCTTTCTTTTTCTTGCTTACTCTACAATGCTTGCTACAAAACTGAGGACTTATAGAGTAAGTTGGGTTGTATAGGAGGTGCCCAGGGGTATGTCTTAAAAAGCATTGCCAGTGTCTAATCACCTGAAGATGTGAGCCCAGGGTCTATGAATACTCAGCCGGTATCCCATACTGTATGTATTTAGAAGTGTTACACAATAACATTTTAGCATTTTTTTTACTTTTTTTTTTTTTTGTCCTGTGTTTACAGTGAAGTTTCTTTGAAAAGCCATGATGACACCTCAAGCCTTAAAAGCCAGGAGGTGACAGATGAAAATTGTGATACATCAGTCATTCCAGATGGAGATAGTGAAGGCAAAGAGAGCCAAACAAGTGATTCTGACTCGGATGGCCCCATCCTCTACACAGATGATGATGACGATGATGATGACAGCACAGAAAGTGAGATTTACTAAAATATCTACAGTAGACAGTGGCACTAATTAATTCACTATAAAAGCATTTATGACTTGCTGAATGAATTTAATAATGTGCTAAAGTGACATACCTTAAGGGTAGGGTAGGATCACATATGTGTGGGTGACTGCTGCTGAGGGACCACACCTGTTCCCTCATCTGCACCACCTGTCCAGACAAATGGCACGTTGTGCGCACTGAAAATTGCTCCCGCACCGAGCACAGGACTGCATTTGCGGTTTCCGTGCAGGCTGCGATTCTAAAAATTGTACAGGGACCTTTTCCCTGCATTTCAGGAGGCATGGAAGCTGATTCAAAATAATGAGATACCGTGCCCACACAAACCGCTGCTCGCAGAGCTGCATCAGTGTGCACCTTGCCTAATGCTCAATGAGATGCCAGTTTATCATGCCTTAAGACAGGTTTCTAAAAGTGTAACTTCTCTTCTGGTTCACCAAGGCAGCTTCCTCTGTCAAGCTGCGTATTTGTTAAGCACGGTTCATGTTAAAAGATTTACTAATGTATACGGATTAATGTGTAAGAATTTTAGAAGAGTGACAACTGAAAAACATTTAAGATGAAGATGAGATATAGTGAAGATTTATTTTTCAAACACAAAGTTTATTTCCTTTCTTGTAATCCCATCAAAGATTTCTAACTGTCATCTTGGTTCCTCCTTTTGCCAAAAAATGCATCTAATGCCTAATACACATGATGATAAAATCAGATGAAAAATACAGAACAAAATGCTTTTGTACTAATGATAATCTGATCATTAGTACACAACTTTCAAGAGCCGATCATGCAGTTCATGTGAAATTCTCTGGAGTGACAAGCACAAACATTCTTTTGTACGATAACAGAATTAACAATTTTTATTTAATCAGTGCAGTATTTGCCTGTAAAAAAACAAAGTGACCAAGACTGCTCATGTTTGGAAACGAAAGAATACATTATGATGCAATACAATACATCATCGTGGGAATTTTCTTAAGTTTAGTGACCCATTCATTTTCTATATGAAACCAGCATGCGAACAAAAAGAAAGGGACAATCGTTCGTCCAATATTCTCATCGTGTGTCCGGGCAGGAAAGAGCAAGTTATATAATTGTCAGACATTTCAATTCCTGTAAAGATGATGTTACAGACCCTAAAGTGATATTAAAACCTCAGTTATTAAGCACGTTCAGCAGCTGATTTAGGGGTAAATTGACTAAGAGATAAATCTTGCATGAATTTTTCCATTAAAAAAAACACATGTAGGATCTTAGAAGCAGCCAATTCTAAAAAAAAAGAGTTGATTCCCACATGCATTGATTGTTTGTTTTTTTTTAACAGTTTTCATTACTTCTTATTTGACCGGCCGCAGCAGACAGTGAAACATTTAGCAGCACTCAATCAGTATGAACCACAGCCACTAGCCCACCAGAAAAACCAGCTGCCAGTCAATACATCCGATTCCTTTGCTTCCCTTGCTTCGAATGAGATCTCTGCATCTCTGCTGCTAATGAAACAAAGGGGCAGGGTCTCCCAGGTTAAATTCTTGACCAAATATGGACATGTCTATATATGAGCAATGGACTTGGGGATCCCCTTTAAAATTCGTACCAGACCTGCATGTGTTAAACTTAAGTGAATTGACACTTACTTGCAACTTTATCTTTAGTCCTTGCCTGTGTTTCAGTTTAAGCTGATGGCATGACTGATATTGTTTCAGGCTGGGTTCTTACTCTTCTAGTGTCCTATGGAGTCAGTCTTGCATACAGGGGCTAGAGCAGCAATGGGCAAACTACGGCCCGCGGGCCGTATACGGCCCGGCGGACCTTTTAATCCGGCCCGCGGAGCTAGGCTCCTCTCACAGTCCGCCCTGAAGACCGGTGTAGCATGAAAATCTATGAGGATCTGTCCCCCTCGACGTATCTGCGCATGTGCCGGAGATCGCCGATCGGCTGCTAATGCCTGAAACTGGCACATGCGCAGATACGTCGAGGGGGACAGATCCTCATAGGAGACAGATTTTCATGCTACACCTGAACGGCGCGGGAAGACGGCGAGAGGAACGCGCAGAGCAAAGGTAAGTGAATTGACACGGGGGACTTAATATGGGGGATGAATTAATATGGGAGATGAATTACTATATGGGGGGTGAATTACTATGGGGGGTGAATTACTATATGGGGGGATGAATTACTATGGGGGTGAATTACTATGTGGGGGATGAATTACTATGGAGGATGAATTACTATGGGGGATGAATTACTATGGGGGATGAATTACACTATGGGGGATAAATTACTATGGGGATGAATTACTATATGGGGGATGAATTACTATATGGGGGATGAATTACTATGTGGGGGATGAATTACTATGGGGGATGAATTACTATATGGGGGATGAATTACTATATGGGGGATGAATTACTATGGGGGATGAATTACTATATGGGGGATGAATTACTATGGGGGATTAATTACTATGCTTACTATGGGGGAATATTACTATACTTACTATGGATGACACATACACATCATTCATCTACTCTTGGTCCGGCCCCCGGGTCCAATATATGAACCCATTGCGGCCCTCAAGTCAAAAAGTTTGCCCACCCCCTGGGCTAGAGTTTTGTCTCCCTACACTTTGTGCATCAATAGAAATACACTGCCTATTAGTCTAGGATGGCAAGGTTCTCCCTTGCTGCTCCCTCCTCCCTGCTCTAAGCTAACAGACTGGCTGGAAGTTGCATTATTTGCTGTTAACTTTTTTCCTGTGAAGACCAGATGTTCAGGAAAGCAGCACTAAGAAACCAAGTTGTAAATTGCAAGTGCTGTGGTACACATTTTAACAAATAGCTTGCTGTTTATTATATTTTGCCCAATGTGTTAGGCTAAAAAACACATGGGGTTTAATACTACTTTAAAGAGCACCTTCACACACTTTTTTGGTGGACCAGTTATAGTGATCTGAACAAGTCTGGCTACATGGGCCTGATTCTTCTACAGGTAAGAGGATTAAAAAAAAATGACAGGGCTACTTTAAAGTGGTTGTAAAATAAATAAAAAAAATCCCCTGTAAGGCAATGTCATAATGTGCTAGTATGCATTCCAACGGCACGCTGTCACCGTTGACAGGGCTTCCATCTTCACATGGTCCTCCTTCTGGGTTCGCGAGCTCTGGCTGTCTGACTGGCCGAGCCACGATGACATCACGGGCCATGGCACAGTGCTCTGAAAGAATGGCACAGATATGCCATTCATTCAGACTGCATGCTCCATCTCTTAAAAAGAGCTAATGTCTCCTAAACGGTGGACGTTTAGGAGATATTCATTTTACCTACAGGTAAACCTGTAGGTAAAAGTATTACAAAAAGAGTTTACTACCACTTTAAGGCAGGAAGAAAACCGAGGCAAAGATAAGGTACACAAGACTAAGATACACCTATGCCTAACTAGCTTTGAAATCCTAACTGGTTCTGAGCACAATTTATATAATATTTTTATTCATTATTCTGCACTTAGCTGTTATTTTGCTAAATATGTTTCCAGTCTCAGTCTTCCAGGTTGTCGGAAAACTTCTGTTGTGATGCATTTCATGTAATCATCTCTCTGTGTATTCTGTTTTAAGGTACATTGGCAAGTAAAATCCGCCGTAGAGATACACTTGCTATAAAACTTGGGAACAGACCATCTAAGAAGGACCTAGAAGACAAAAATATTCTGCCACGTAATTCTGAAGAAGAACGACATGAGATGTGGCAGCAGATTGGAACAAAGCTAGTGAGGTATAAATGCTTCTTAAAGTGACAGTACACTCACATTCTTTACATCAATCATTCTAGAACAGGCTATAGATTATGCAATTTTCTTTCCATCCACTACGGGTGTAAGGAAAGAAAATTGCTTGATTTCCCCCATAAACACAGTGTTGATGAGGAAATCCTTCCCCCAGTGCTATTGTGTTCTGCCAGTGGGGAGCCTTCCTGGCTGGCAGAATACAATAATTACTGCTAGCAGCTATAACCGACAGCAGTAATCGCATGTAAAAAATCAGACAGGCTGGGTTTTACCCAAGTTGATTGATGGATCGAATCTTGGCTGGACTCTGCTGAACCAACCAAGAATCGATCCATCTATGGCCGGATTAAAATAACAAGTATACCGTAAAAAGTCTTTTACTGTCGATTTAGGCTTCTTTTTTGTCCTGTGCATGCTTCCTATCCTCCAATGATGCACCACACAGTTACTACTGTAGAGCGAGCAGGGCTGTCACCTCTGGTTACATGCTTTTCTGTTAGCATACTTCAATGCCCATAGAACTGAATGTGTCTGCACATAGATGTGTAGTCCATCACAGGGGTGAGCAAGAAAGGGTGATTACTTTCATACACGAGGGGGACATGAAGAACAAACTTAACCCCCCTAGAACAGGAAGTCTGAGAATAAGAGGAAAAAAGCTTACATTTGAGCGATGACACAAAGGAAGAAAGAGGTAGAAGGTACATTCTACTTACATTTAAACATATTACCTTTATTTTGTAAAAAAGAAAAGTGAGTTTAGTGTCACTTTAACCGCCTCCCACCCACCATATAGTAATATGATGGACGCAAGGCGGTTTTCTCATAGGACATCCTGCCATTCTAACCGTGCATGCGCGGCTCCCGGAGCGCGCACTGCAGCAATCGCCGGTGTGCTGTGTCCCTCAGATCCACAGAAAGAGCCGAAGATGTCGGCTCAGTCATGTGATCAGCTGTGTCTAATCACAGCTGATCACATGTAAACAGGGAAATGCCGGTTATCAGCATTGCTCTCCCCACGAGCTGTTACGCTGACCGCTCGTGAGGAGAGGAGAGCCGGTAATCGGCATTCCTCGGAGGGGACATGTACACAGATCATCAGAGCACTGATAAGTGTAGCCCCAGCAGCGCCACCTGTCAATGTCCAGTACCAGCTCTCAGTGCTCATCCATGCCACCTGCCAGTGCCATATCAGTGCCACATTTCAGTGCCCATCAATGCCACATATCAGTGCCCATCTGAGCTGCCTTTCAGTGTCACCCATCAGTGCCCATCAGTGCCACCTATCAATGCCAGTAAGTGCCACCTATCAGTGCTGCCAATCAGTGCCACCTATCAGTGCCAGTCAGTGCCGCCTATCAGTGCCAGTCAGTGCCCTATATGAGTGCTGCCTTTCAGTGCCCATCAGTGATGCCTGTCAATGCCCATCAGTGCCACCTACCAGTGCCTCCTCATCAGTGCCCATCAGTGCCACCTATCAGTGTCCATCAGTGCAGTCTATCAGTGCCCATCAGTGCAACCTCATTAGCGCACATCAGTGAAGGAAACAAATCACTTATTTACAACATTTTATAACAAAAGCTAAGAAAAAATGTTTTTTTTTTTTCAAAATTTTCAGTGGTTTTTGGTTTAAGAAAAAATAAAAAAAAACCCAGAGGTGATTAAATACCACCAAAATAAAGCTCTATCTGTCACAAAAAAATGAAAAAAATTTCATATGGGTACAGTGTTGCATGACCGCACAATTGTCATTCAAAGTGCTACAGCGCTGAAAGCTGGAAATTGGCCTGGACAGGAAGGGGGTATAAGTGCCCTGTAGGCTAGTGGTTAATGATGTTTCACATTACATAAAGAGGGGAAAAGTGACAGATGTTATTAAATCAGTTAGAGCTGTCCCTATTCCAGAGCTTTCTGCCTACCAATAGTTGCATTTTGTTGCACCCCCCTTTTTTAATATGACTGTATGGGATCCACTGTACAATAAGCAGACTGGGCTAAGTAAATACAAAGAAAGTGAAAAGTAAATCTGCAAGTGAAAAAGCGTATATGTTCATATACAGTATGGTTTTTTTTCCAATGTGAAAGCGGAACTAAACTGTGTCTGAGCACTACAAACTGAAAACGCTGTTTAATTAATTTTTAATGTTCAAAACAACCATCCATCAATGTCTTTGTGCTTTATTTTCTTGAGAAATCACTTTGAAACTCACCTCCCTAGCATTTCTAGCTGCAACCATCTTAAGTAAGGGCAGATGATTCATGTAGCATGTATTTCCTGGAATCCATCTGTCTGCTCAGGCATGCAGGCAGGAAGGTATTGAATAAATAATGCAGTGCTTCAATCTCTCAATCCAATATATACATACAATATATCAACACGTGGCAATAATTAAACAAAGTGTCCATACGTGAGTGATCATGCTCACAATAAAACAATATCCAATTGTGCTCAAAACGATATATCTGTATGTTTTCAAAGTGGGGAAAAAAGTAAAATCTGATTTTTTTTTTTTTCAGCACGACAGTGCACCTCCTCCCTCCTATACCATCTATAAATGTTCAATTCTTATTCAGATATCGTGTTCTCAAATACCTATATAATACCCAAATGACCAAAGAACAACAAGATGCAAAACCAATACTGGTACTATAATGCACCTCCTCCCTTTTTCACAATCAGTAATGTTCAAAGTCAAAATTATAAAAGTCCTTTGCATGATATATGATCTCTTTCCTTCAAGTAATGTGATACACCACCTTCTTCATGCTCTCCACTCTTCCCCCATATGTAAAAACACTCACCAGACTTGCAGGCCTCTTAAGATTTTAAGCAGTTTTGCAAACTCTTTCTTTAATTTATGGTTGGTCTCCTCTCTCCTCCTCTAGACCACAGACGTTGTGATTAAGTGATACTGGGTAACAACCATTTCTAACACCCTCATACCTCTATGATGTTACACAGTGGGTATAGAAAAGAATCACCCCCTTTAAAATCACATTTTTGCTTTGCAGCCTGAAATAGAGTCAGACAGACAGTTTTTGTTTTATCCAGCTGTATTTACTCATACAACATCCAAGTGAAAGATATAACCAACCTGACACCAACATGTCAGAAAAAAACTAAAATAAAAAAACAATCAGTGAGTTGGAAAAAGGATCACCCCCTTCTAAAAATAACTTGTAAACTCAATCAGGTGTAGCCAATCACCTTCTCGATGCCACACAAAGCCATTTGACTTTCAACTGTGATCAGCTGTGGTAATTTTGATTAGCTCAGCATGAAAAGAGCTTTCCTGGAACATTTCAGTCCCTGGTAGTGCAACTGAAGCAAACAAGCAAATATGGATGGCAAGGCACTGTCAAAAGATCTCCGGGATAAAGTTGTGGACAGGCACAAGTCAGGAGATGGATACAAAAAAAAATTCAAAGTCTTTATCAATGCACAGTAAAGTTTATTATTAGCGGAAGATATTTGACACAACACAGACCCTCCTTGGATTAGACATTACTCCAAACTGGATGAAAGAACCAGAAGGAAACTGGTCAGAGAGGCTACCAAGAGGCCTACAGCAACTCTGAAGCAGTTGCAGGAATTTATGACAAAGAGTGGTCATTGTGTGCATGTGACAACGATATCATGAATTCTCCACAAATGTGGCTTGTATAGGAGGGTTGCAAGAAAAAGTCAGTCCTTAAGAAAGGCCACATGCAATCACGACTGAGCTTTGCCAGAAAGGCACTTTGAAGATTCTGAGGCCACATGGAAAAAGGTGTTCAGATGAGACTAAATTATAATTGAATTATTTGGCCTCAACACTAAACGATATGTCTGGCGGAAATCCAGTATAGCACATCATTCCAATAACACCATTCCTACAGTAAAGCATGGAGGTGCTTCCTGTTATGCTGGTGTTTTCTCTGCAGCAGGGACTGGAGCACTTGTTAGGATAGAAGGAAAAATGATTAGGGCGAAATATACTGTCATATTCTTGAGGAAAATCTGCTGCCCTCTGCCAGAAAGTTGTCAATGGAAAGAAGGTTTACCTTCCAACGTGACAATGACCCAAAGCACACAGCAAAAATGACCACACAGCGGTTGAAGGAGAAAAAAAGGTGAATGTCCTTGCATAGTCTAGTCAGAGTCCAGACTTAAACCCCATTGAAAATCTGTGGAATGACTTGAAGACTACAATCCACAAACAGTCGCCATCAAATTTAACTGAACTTGAGCAATTCTGCAAAGAAGAGTGGCAAATATTGCAAAGTCTAGATGTGCAAAGTTAATAGAGACATGTCCCAACAGACTAAAGGCTGTAATTAAAGCAAAAGGTGGTTCAACAAAATATTGGCACAAGGGGGTGATCCTCTTTCCAGCGCCATGATTCTGTTTTTTATTTAGTTTTTTTTTTTTCCTGACTTGTTGGGGTTATATCTTTTACTTGGATGTTATAGGTTGCACTGAGTATATACAGCTGGATAGAACAAAAACTGTGTCTGTCTTCATTTCAGGCTGCAAAGCACACAATGTGATTATTTTAAAGGGGGTGATTCTTTTCTATACCCACTTTACTTCTTCTCCAGTAATTCAGTGGTCTTAAGGATAGACGGGAAAGTTCACAGTAGTGAAATCTAATATTTATTGTAATAGTTAAAAAATGGCATATGCACTTACATGATAACAGTGGTAAACGCCACAATCAACTCTCTTTTTCCTCCTTGGTGAGATCCATGGAACACAGGCGTACATTCTAATCAGCAGAAATGATGTAGCGGAAATGCCATCAGCAAGTCCCTCCCAATGCGTTTTGTTAATCAGTGGACATCAGGATCCACGTTTAGTTATGCTCATTGATTGATGAAACACATTGGGTTGGACTTGCTGACATCACTTGCTGCCTGTACCATGATCTGTGAATAAAGGAGAGTCTGATCAGTCACAGGATCCCCGCCCCCCCATTCAGAGGTCCTGTTACAGCCAGTGTAAATAGTGAAAGAACTTTTCTCAGTAGAGGAGAGGGCAGAAGGGGGCATCTCCTAGAAGATTGCAACTGAGTCCTGAGATCCAAAGTTGTTAACCCCTACAGCACCAGAAGTTCAGTAGCTAGAAGAGGACAGCTGCTCTGCTGTGAAGATTTCAACAAAATCCTGCAGCCTGACATTGTGGGACATTCTTCATTACAAGTAAATAAACTAAAGCTGTAGAGAAAGAGAAACTCAAACGTCCGCTTTAAAAACATTGATGGATGTTCCACAATATCTCTGCTAAATCCTGATCTCAGAGTACAGTAAATAACTTGTAGCAAGTAGTTCATATTTAAAGTGTTATTAAACCCACAACAGTAAAATCCATCTGTATATGCAGTAAAGCATACTTTTTATACTCACTGTGGAACCTAAGGGGATAATCCTCTGCATTGTGTAAAAACGCTCTTTGATCCTTACTTCTCTGATCCTCCCCTTCTTCCAATGTCCCCCTTTTATCTCCTGATAAGGCATATTGGGTGGAGTCACTCTGCACATGCTCAGTTTGGTGTGTATTGCTAGAGAGTTGGTTGTTTTTTTTTTTTTCTTGGGCCATTCAGCACTGTCCAGACAGAGGTCAGGGGTCCTGCATCTTCCTAGAGCAAAATTAACTTTAACATGTTACAAGACTGCTCTAATTGCTGATGAGAAAAGGTATTTAGCAGTTTATTTTTACTAAAATAATTGCACCTCGATGTTCTGTATACTTTGGGACATGAGATATAGTGAATGCAGGGTCCTGGGTTTAGTAACACTTTAAGAGAAGAGTAGATGCTCTCATTTGTCCATTTTTTTTTTTTTTTTTTGCATTCTATCAGAGAAACATATTTTCTTCTCAGTTGCTGTATTAAAAAAATGTCCTAATGTTTTACAGGAGACTCAGTCAAAGGCCCACCTGTGAAGAGCTAGAGCAAAGAAAACATCTTAAAACGTAATTATTTCTACTCAAAACGTATCTTTTTTTTGTATGTAAAGAAAAACTGAATCATTTTCGACTGAAAGATGGTTCACTAAATAGGTGGATGTACAATAGTTAAGGATGGGTTTTGCTGAGAATACCTAATGTAGTCATAAACATTAACTTATACAGTGGTAGAAATAATTGCATTGGAGAATTGAAAAGGATGTCATCGGTGATATGCATGATGAGTGAACCCTCGAAGGATCTGATTATTCAGAAACACACTTGTAGCCAACCATACAGGAATAAATATTAAAAAGAGCAAAATCAACCAGGGGCACCTGCAAAACTAGTGCTATGGTATAAACGGCTGACTCACCACAGCTAGGGGTTCTCAGGACCTGGTAATTCATAATCAAATCAATAGAATCAATGCAAGCAAAGGGCTCACATTTAAAGAGGTCCCAAAGAGAACTACTGCGGCTTTTAATAAAAAATATACTTTTATTTGTAGTATCAAAAATGACAATCACTAGACTAAACAAAAAATACCTTCACTGAACACCAAATAAAAACAAAATGACAGCGTCCTATTAGGAACACAGCCCAGGGCTCACAGGCATACACTCAACGCATACAAGGGTGCTAGGAGTAATGCAATGTCAGCAGCAGTCTAGATGGGGTGGAAATTAGCAGCCGCATAAGTGATGAAATAAAACGAAACATCTATATAGCTAGTTAGCCCTAATTCCTGTGTGATTAAACAAAGGTTAGCTCCGTAAGATGGAAAATGAGCATATGCTAGCAGATCTGTATATTGGATGTCAAAAACACTCAGAGTATACAGTAGCTGATGTCATAATATATGTCAGTTGGTGACTAGAGTCTAAGACCAACCAGGCTTGCTAAAGCCTCAAGCTAGAAATTGATCAGCCATAGGTGGAGAGCCAGCCATCAAAGTATGATATAAATCAGTTCGACTATAGTGCTATTGCCCATCAAGAGCAGCATCACGAATAAGACCACATACAAAGCAGCAAGCAAGGGGGTGACATCAGTATAAAAGCAAGGAGCTGTGGGAGCCAGAGCAATCTTACATGCAATGAATAGGCTGCCTGAAGCATGAGATTCCTCAATGTAGTCACAGTCCCAGGAATCACTCCTGACATAGCCAGGTCTCAGTTCGTATCAGCCGCAGCTCACCGCTCCATGGCAGTCACTGCCCTAGGAGCTACTACCATTAGGGCCAGCACCCAATTGTGTAAGACACAGCTCACCGCTCCTGGTGCAGCAAGTCCAGAACAGTCCCCACCATCCCAGTTGCCAGTGTTGGTGTCCAGTTCATTGTGTGGTGCTGCAATATAGGTCAGTCGAGGGGAAGAAAGATGGGGGTGGAAATAAGGAATAGAAGCTTACAACCATATCTGTCCACAGTTGTGGTAGGGGCTAAGAGAGAATTCGAGGACCTCATATTATTAGAGATACTAATGGGATAGATGAAAACATCAGCAGGGGGTAGTAGATGCATATTTTAGGGCTCCAAAAACACCTGTAGATGCAGCTCCATTTTGATTCCCCTCAGTGCCAGTGTCCCTAGTTTGAAAATCCATTCCTTTTCCTTCCGCAAGAGAACTGTATTAAATTCCCCACTGCGGCTTGAAAGGTTTATAGGTTTAAATAGGAATGAGGGCTGACTAACTATATTGATGTTTTGTTTATTTCATCACTTATGTGGTTGCTAATTTCTATCCTATCTAGACTGCTGCTTAGATTGCATTACTGCTAGCCCTGGGCTGTGTTCTTAATATGACAACGTTGTCATTTTGTTTTTATTTGGTGTTCAGTAAAGGTATTTTTGTGTTTAGAGTCTAGTGATTATCATATTTTTGATACTGCTAATAAAAGTATATTTTTTACTAAAAGCCACAGTAGTTTTCTTTGGGACCACTTAAAATGTGAGCCCTTTGCTTGCATTGATTCTGTTTATTTGATCGACCATACAGGAATCCATATTTGAGTGACTATTACAGGAATACAATTATTTTGATAGTATAGTACAACTGAAAATAAACCAGTCTTATTTAGGTTGGAGTTAACAGTGGAAATTTTGGCATACAGTATTTGATTTGAAATGTACACATCATTCAAGGCTTTCCTGCTGTAAGAAAGACAGCCTTCCTATGTTCTTGGTCACTGTCTTGTACTCCGTAACTGTACTGCTAGGCACAGTCAAGGGCATCTCTCTAAACGTCAGTTTCCTATGTGCCATGAAAACATATATGCATTGAATTTAATTTACTAATGAAGTAGAGAATGTTTACTTTGCAAAGTGAATGTTTACTTGGCTCATTGAATAAAGTAAAGGTATGTTCAATACCTAGTCATATGAAGAACGTTAGCTACTATTAAAGGATTATTTACCTTAATGCAGAGAATGCATTATTGTAAAAACCTTTTACCTTTACAACAACCACTTTAAGAAAATATAATTTTTTTTTTTCTTGCACATCATTGCATGATTAGAATGAAGACAACATTTAAAGTTAAAAAAAAAAAATCCTCAAGTCCCTTAGTAAATCCCATAATATCTAACACAAATTCATTGTTTTAAATTAGGGTCACAGTTAGTAGTAGCAAATAAAGGCTGACTGGACGCAGACCACCATCCTGCAGAAGTTCCATGTACTTCAGTGCCTGTAAATGTTCTTACAGTAACAACTTGTTAATCAGGAAAAGAATACAAAGAGGGTAATAAAGTCTCTCTGCGATTTATAGTTGTCTATCTGCATCCAACCCCCCCCCCCCCCCCCCCCCCCCCCCCCCCCCACCCCCCCCCCCCCCCCCCCCCCCCCCCCCCGCCCCCCCCCCCCCCCCCCCATTCTCTACTACAGAGTGATAGACTCTCCTAATTAACAAAGGGATCATGGCAGTTTTCAGTATACAAAATTTCCTCAGATCCCCACCAGATCAGACCTGGAATGTGAAATATCTATCAGGAACCAACAAACACAGCGCTACATCAATCCCTCATTCTCCGCTTAGCGGGGTGCTGCCAAAGGAACCCGGATCATGCAGCTCCAGCTATCCTGCTCTCTATACCATGTCTGGCACAGAAACAGTATAGAAAACGGAGCAGATTGCTCCTAATTAAAAATGGCTTGCAGGCTCTGCTCCATTTTGCCAGTTTGGGTAAAAGTGATAATAAAGGCTTGTGGGTTTGTTTTTTTTAAATAACAAACATGTAATACTTACCTGCTCTGTTCAATGGTGTTACACTAAGCAACCCTGATTTTCTTCTCCTCTCTGGGCCCTCTGTTGATGCTCCTGGCCCCTCCCCCCGCTGAGTGCACTCATGCTTCCCAAGCCCTGCTTTGTGTGTCTTTAAAACCCACAGAACGCTGCTCAGCCCCCGCCCCCATTCTCTGCTCATTGGTTGTGATTGATAGCAGTGGGAGCCCACTGCTGTGTCTCAGCCAATGAGAAGAGAGAGGCTTGGGAGAGCCAAGGCTCCCATATACAGCACTGGATCAAGATCAGACTCAAGTAAGTATAAGGGGTGGAGGGAGCAGCACACCGAAGGTTTTGTTCCTTCATGCATAGAATGCATGAAGGTAAAAACCTTCTAACTTTACAACCACTTTAATTCCCCCAAAGTATCCAAAGGTGCCTTGCATTAGTTAAATAGAAAGCCTGCAATGATATAATATGTTCCTGGGCTTCTGCCTCAAAATCCAGCTTTCAATGACAGGAAATCTCTTCCAGGAAAAGGTTTTGTAAACAGCTGAGTAAACAGACAAATGGAAAAGCTTCACAATGGTTCACACTCCAACCTGTTATTTTCAATAGAGATGAGTGCAATAATTTGCCAAGCACTACAAAAACTGATGTTGTTAATACAGGCTTCCTAAAACCTGGACTGGCTGGAATAACAGCTGAACTGAAAAATGGTTACATATACAGTGTATAAAGCATATGGGGATTTAATACATCCTTTTAGTCTATTCTATACTGTACCTTATACTTGGACTACGCTGTAGATTTGTGTTGACAATTTTATTCAGTAATAAGCATATGCTTTTAACATTTCAAGTTCAGAGATAATTAAGCTGTCTTACTCATCTTCTCAGTGTTTTTTAATATCTTTGTCCCTCAGAAAAAAATGAAGAGGAGGAGCAGGAAGCGAGAAGAGAACTGAAACGAAGGCTTACACGCAAGGTTAAAAAACATTCATTTATCATTACAAAAAAAGTCCTAAAATATGAAAAAAAAGCTACCTTTAACAATTAAACCTAATAGAGTATGGGAGGTTTTAAGTTAAACACTTCACTGCAAGAGGTCTCATACTTCTCAGATGCCAATATGCCATACACTGGCCACTTGTACAGATTATTATATTCAATGGTTAGCCCACTGTTCTTTTTTTAGTTGTAAAACCGCCCCTGTGCCATAGCTTGGCTGACTCATAGCTGTTAAAATAGCTGTTCCCCTATTTTAAAGTGCAGATTTGGTCTTGTTAGAAGGTTTACTACCTTTTTTTCTCTCTTGCAATGCTGCTGATCTTAAGGAGCAAGTGAGAGAAGAATATAGTCATATTGGATAGTGTATGGGAGGGTTATAACCCCTGTTAGTTGTTCTGGGTTTTTTTTTGTTTTTTTTCATTTGGGTTCCAGGGAAGATTTCCCTTTTACTTACTGTCTAAGGCTAGGTTCACATCTGTGCGGGTGGTTCCTGCTGCTGGTCCGCACCTGTTGCCACAGCCACCTGCACAGAAAAACGCACTGGATGCATACAAGTGCCGTTAATCCTAATGGCATGCCGTGCACACTGGAAATGCTCCTGCACTGCAATGCAGTTCCCATGTGGGCTGTGTTTTCTAAAATGCTGCAGGGACCTCTTCCCTGCGTTTCAGGAGGGGCAGCACCACATTCAAATGAATGGACTACCGTGCCCATGCAAAACAAAGGCTTGCAGAGCCGCATCAATGTGAACCTAGTCTTCTATCCAAAGCAGGAAGTTGTTTCCAAAGTAATTGAAATTCCCTCATAGACTAGCATTCCCATTAGAAGATTTCCCCTCTAATTCTATTCTGATGACAACTCAATTTTTTGCACTTTCACTCTCGGTGATAATGATCAACAGGACAAATGGAGAGGGTGAATCTCTCCAGTGAGGTGATATACAGCGGTATAAACCTGCATGAAGAGAAAGCTAGAACTTACTGAATAAACCTAAAAGACAATAGGTCATCACACAATTGTGATTGCTGGCTTTTACACACGGCATCACCATCTGCATCTGTGGCAGGAAGATGCTGGATGGATTTGTCTACAGTAATAAAGATCTGACCAGTGTTCTCATCCCTCTCCACTGTATCGAAAACTAACTGCACTTGAAAATAAGTGTCTGTGCTAGTATCTTTCAGACCAAAAAATATCTTTCAGAAGGTCAAGTTTAAGTTTGTGGGGGAGTAAAGCCATGGGTCAAATTCCAAAAGAATTTTCTTTAGAAAATCTTTAAGAATTTTTGTTCGAAATTCACACCACTAATGGGCCACAGTAATGGGCGATTTTTGATCCCCAATCGAATTTGAGTGATTGGGCATGTTGGACATTTTTTGAAAAACGAGCTAATTTCTAATCAATGATGGAAGAATCGTGCAAGAAATGTAATTGAAAAAGAAATGAGCATGAGCTGTGACCTGGAAAGAAAAGAAAATTCTTGGCCACGAAAATTCTTTTCTGTAGCAACAGGTGAAATTAAAAGCGCGGTTGGTCGAATTTCAAAATCAATGGTGGCACCATTGGATTACAAAAACAAACAAAATTTCCGATTTTCTGAAGAACATTTGTTTGGAATTAAACCCATGTATGACCTGCATAAGTGTGAGGGGGCTTTAGGGTGTCACTCTGTGGCAAGTTTTGATCTCCTGGCACTTAATGCCAGTGCGTTAGAAAACCGTGCCCAAGGGTGACCCACATCTGCAAGCCATCATCCTAGCTTTGATTGCACCATACACCTATACTTATATTTTGTTACCGATTCACCATAAGTATTTTTTTAATTCAGATCAAGTTTAATGCATTTAACTTGATCTGAATTAAAAAAATAAATCACATTTATGCAGGCCATGAGGGATCATATTGTCACATTAATAATAAGTAAATTTGGTATCCAACACATGTAATAATAAGTAAATTTGGTATCCAACAATTATAGTGAATTAAAATACCCTGTGTAGAACTCTAAAAAAAAAAGTCACACTTTCACCCAATGCTGAAAGTTAATTTGGATATAAAAACCTATTTTGTGCCAGTCAATGTGTTGAAGTCCAAAAATACAGTCCAAATAAATTATTCCTCCATGTTCAACTTCAACATCCCCCAATTATAAATCCAGATAATTTGTGTACCTCAAAAAAAAAGAGGTGTTTCTTCATTATAAAGGGCAATGAGAACTAAATAGTGTATTACCTTCAATATAAAACAGGGGGAAGTATATACTTCACCAAAACAATAAGTATATACTTTACGAATAAATATGTGCAGAAAAAAAAAAGATTCAAATTGTGAGCAACACGTGAATCGTGAAATCACTCCATGTACACGATATATAAAATATATAAATATATAATATGTGTGTGTGAACATTCTGTGTACATTCATAAAAATGAAATAAAATAAAATTGCAAACACTTCTAAATAGCTGAAATGCATACAATTACCCTCAATAGAGTAATAGCAAGCCTTTAAAGAGTACACTCTGGACTCACTCCAGTGTTGCTGTCACTCCCTGGACTCTCACTCCAGTATGTCACAGATAGGGTTCCAATCCTTAGGCAAACATCTCACATTTCCATCATCCTCACGAATAGAGAAAGAAGCCCATATAGTGTAGTATTATAGGTATTAAAACATTTATTTGTAGTGCTTACATATAGGGACTTATCAATCAGCAGCAAATTCCCATGACACAGCCTAGAGCAGCTTCCTGGAACGCTGCACTGCCGATTCCAAAAGCAACGATGGCTGCTCCGCCCCTTCCAGTTTGCGTATTACGTCAGACGGCACGGCTACTGATGCGTTTCGTCACTTCCGGACTTCTTCTGAAGGGATCCATATATATCTATAGTACACAGAGTGATTTCACGATTCACGTGTGCACATATTTATTCGTAAAGTACTTATTGTTTGGTGAAGTATAGAAGTATATACCTGTTTATATTGAAGGTAATACACTATTTAGTTCTCTATTTTTTTGAGGTACACAATTTATCTGGATTTATGGGGATGTTGAAGTTGAACACGGAGGAATAATTTATTTGGAGTATATTTTTGGACTTTACACATTGACTGGCACAAAAAAAGTTTTTATATATGTTTTGTCACGTGTTTAATAGCTTTATTCCATGCACATTTGAAAGGTACCCCAACCCCATACCATAGAGTCTATGTAGAACACCGATAAAGGGAATTAAGCGGCTACTATATTTAGATCAGTTATTGATTAATTCTTAGGCAGAACAGATTATATATTGTTACTAGACAGTTTACTGTGACCTTGTAAACCTTGTGTCCTGATTTTTAGCATAAAGTGTGGGTTTCTATCATATTTTATGGTGTTTGCTATAATAATGTTTGTTATCTCTCTGCTTTTTACTTACAGCTTAGCCTGAGGCCTTCAGTGGCTGAACTGCAGGCCAGGCGTATCTTGCGCTTCAATGAATATGTAGAGGTTACAGATTCTCTGGACTATGACCGCCGTGCTGATAAACCCTGGGCAAGGTTAACTCCTGCTGATAAGGCAAGGGCACATACTTTTTCTGATGGCAGTCTATGTCTAGGTGTTTCCTATGTTATTGAACCACTCTTCATACTACTGTATGTTCTCAGGTGCAGCCTTTCGTAGTGAGAGACTAATGTATGAAAAGAGGGATAATACCTAGACTAGAGCATCGTTATACATTACAATCCATAATAGATTTATTTTTTCATCAAATATGACATATTTAGGTCCTATGAAGCATGATATGATATCATTGTGAGCTGATCCTGATTATATTATCCAGAGCAAGTTATGGTCATGATGTCTGAGAGCAACCTTCAAAAGATAAAAAAAAATACTTTAGCACAGATAGATTTTTCAGGCCTGTAGGTATTCCACCAGGCCGCAGGAGTGTGTCTGCTGAATGAATAAACATACTCACATATGTGATGTAAGTAGATATTCTACTAGGCTATTACTAGTAGCAGGGGGGTGTCTACTGGATGCAGAAACATACACGCATGTGTGATGCAAGTAGATATTCAGCCAGGATATAACTAGCTCCAAGGAGTGTGTCTGCTAAATGTATAAACATGCACATATGCGTGATGTGAGTGGGTATTCCACCAGGATATAGATAGCAACAGTGGTATGTCTGGTGAATGTAGAAACATACATGTTTGCATGACACAAATTGTTATTTCAGTAGGATATAGATAGCGCCAGGGGTGTTTCTATTGAATGTATAAACATGCACATATGTGTGCTGTCAGTAGATGTTCTGCCAGGATATAACTAGCACCAGTAGTATGTCTGCTGAATGTATAAACATGCACACATTTGTAATGCAAGTAGATGTCCCACCAGGATATAACTAGCACCAAAGGTATGCTTGCTGAATTTATATACATGCACATATATATAGCACAGGGGTGTGCCTGCCCACATGTGTGAAGTAAGTAGATATTCCGTCAAGATATAATTGACACCAGGGCTGTATTTGATAATTGTATTAATATATTGATGAACTTTATCCTAACACCATACTTTATAGACTTCATTGGTGATATTTAAAGTGATACTAAACTTTGTTTTTTTTTTTATTAAAAATAGAAAGATGTTATACTTACCCGCTGGCCAAAAATTCTTCCGGTATAACCTAGGGTGTGGTTGCCATCAACCCTATTTTTCTAATAAAACAGTTTATACCTTACATTTGGTGGGATTTTTAAGGCAACCTTGTTCTACAAGTAAACCAAACAGATTTTTATAAGAACGTTTTGACATTTTATTACATCAAATACATATTTCCCCAATAAAACATGACAATACCCGCTGTGCTCAGAGCGATCCATTACCTCCTCTTTGTCTGCCTCTGCCACTGTTGACATTTCCTCCTTTTTCGGACTGCCCACTTAGCAAGTTATGTGCTATATGGGGCCACCTGTGCAGGTGCGCTTCTGAGCCAGTCTATGTATGTCCATCAATGGTAAGCCATGCCCCCACTCCCTCCTCACAGGAGTTTGACAGCAGCAGGAGCCTATGGCTCCCAGTGCTCTTAGTTTCTCCTGTGAAAGCAGGAAAAGAACAGTGCATCTGCAGCCAGGACAGTGCTGGGTCGGTGAGAGGAGTCAGGTAAATGTTTGGGGACAGATGGAAGGATAGGTAGTGGATAGTTTGTTTGTTTTTACCTTAATGCAGGTAATGCTAAAACTATTTTGACTTTAGAACCACTTTAAACTTGTATTTGAGTCCCATATTATGCTTACTAAATAGCTCTGCCACCTCTGATCAGTAATAATTGGCACAGGACCTTTGTTAATAAATTTACTACTGTTTGCAACTTATAAAATATACGTATGTATTAACATGGTCAGTTAATTTTTGGAATAGGTTTGCTATGCATATTCACCGCTAAAACAGCATTGGCATTCTTCCCACTAATTTTACTATAGTAAAATTGAAATATGATTTGTTACTATGACAAACTGCACTTTTTGTGTCATTCTTTGCTATTTTTTTGATTGAATTGATTTTGAAATGTTGAATTCAGAGTTTCTTGCATTGGAGCAGAAGATAAATATGTGCAAAATCTAGTCTTGAGAGAAGTAAGGGTTAGGGTGATGGTTCCTTGTCTTTTGTACCAGGAAGTAAGTACAGTAAGCTCCCGAGTTACAAACATCCAACTTACATACGACTCATACTTAAGAACAGAGGCAGCATGACATTACTCTGGTCATGGAAGCCAGCTGACGGACGGCCATCTTTCTGCTCACCTCATGCTGCCACCTACTGTCAGGCAGACCAGTCAGCAATCCCACATCACTACATTGCCAGTTAACCCTCCCCTATGCTATCCGAAACTTAAAAATATTTTTTTAGCTGGAGTTACACTTAAAAAATTTACCTGTTCCAATTTACATACAAAGTCAATTTAGGAACAAATCTACAAAACCTGTCTTGTTTTTGTAACCAGGGGACTGTCTGTCTTTTTTATTAGACATACAGCTATAAATGTATCAAGGTCAGCCAATCTAAAACTGGATTTAGTGTGATCAATAAAGGCTAACTCTATTGCAGTATCGACTCAGTAAATCATTACAAAGAACAAATCCAACAATTCCCCAACATCATGCAGCGCTTCGTAAATACTCGAACTATTTAGTTTTTGAGGAATCAGAAAAGAAAATAGGTCAGCAGATGGCACGCTTCTCATACAAAGAAAACAACACCAGGCTAGAATCAGCAGAGGATATAGACAGATTAAAGGTTCAGGAGCTGGTTATTGTGCTATCAATCCCAACATCAGAGATTATAACTTGTGTTAGTTTTATCAAAGCCCAGTCAGCCCTACTACACCTAACATTTTGGCAGCCCTGAGACCTGCACAGAGAGGAGCCTGCAGCTGCTAATTAGAAGGCTGCCTCCTCTTCTCTGTCTGTGCTCTTAAAGGATTACCAAATGTCTCTCTGTTTTTTCCCTCTAATTAAATGAGATGTTCTTTGAAATTATCCATCTGTTAACAAATTGCAATCCATTGAAACCATCTTACTTAACACAAAAATATTTGTTGCAACTCAGAACTGTGTTCAGCATGTGACTCCTAAAAACATGGATCTATTTCACAGCCAAAAAAAACAGAAGTTTAAAGTGGTATTACACCCAAAAACAAACATGTAATATATTGCGGTTTACCAATCCTTAGATGTGGTGGGTGCATTAGTTTTTTGGGTTTTTTTTTTAAGGCTTTGTTCCTTCATTTCACTATTTGATCCAACCAGTAACACACTTAGGGTGTCTGTGTTCTGAATGATGTAGTAAAGCAGACACCGTAAGCATATCCAGTCGGGGGGGGGGGGGGGGGCATGGTAGTATTAGACTAGAAGAATTAAACTGGACATAGATGGATCGAAATTCGTCTGGCTCAGTAGGGACCAACTAAATTTCCTTCTATCATCAATGGCCATTCCTCCTTGATAGAAGTCGATCTAAGCATCAATGAACAGAACTGTTGGAAACTTCCATTTGATCTGCTGCTGCAGCGCTGATCAGTGTATTCTGAAAGCGAAGGAGTCCCCACTGTCAGAGAACAATAGCACTGCAGGGAGGATTCCTTCATCCACCTCGCTTGTGTGGTTGGGGGAGTCCATTTGTTTTGTTTTTTTATGATCATCCCTCTTTCTGATTGAAAGGCTGGTACACACGGGCCAAAATCTACTGGTTCAACAGAAACCAGACAACATTTGGCCCCTGTGTACAGCTGTCGAAGGTTTAACTTCTGTTGAATGGGCATCCTGGAAAACCAGTATCCAACCTTTCAGAGCACAATAGCTCTGCTCCAGACTTATCGCCTGGATCTCCAGGTGAAAATCTGGTGATCCTTATTAAAATAGAAACAATTGATAAGTACTCAATTGTTTCTGTCGCAAATGCACTAATACGGCTACAATCACCTTATTAAAATAAAATAATTTCTAAGTGAAAATGTTTCTATAGTTTCTAACAAAGTTGTTTAGACCTGTTGTATGCATTTTGTCTGTTTTTTAAGCTTTTGACTCTAATATGCAAATTAGCCGAATCCTAAAACGCAACAGTAATTTCTCAATTACTTGCCATTTTTCCAAATTACTGGGAGTCACTGGAAGGTGTGCCATGCCTTTGGCTGCTTTTACTATTGACAGCCAAGATAAGATGCAAGGATGACTGGCTCTGAATTATGTAATTTTTCCAAAAGTGTTTAATGGTTGGTGGCATCGAGACTCTATGGAGAAGATTTACTAAAACTGGTGAACTCAGAATCTGGTGCAGCTGTGCATGGTAGCCAATAAGATTCTAATTTCAGCTTGTTCCATTAAGCAATAAAACCTGGAAGCTGATTGGTTTCTATGCAGAGTTGCACCAGATTTTGCACTCTTCAGCAATAATCCTCTTAGTGTAATTACACTGGAATTCAATAAAATCTTCAAAACTAGATCTTCCAAATCTTCCATCAGTTTGCAGGCACTGGTATTCAAGAAGTATGTAATTCATTAATGAACATCAGACTTCTCATTGTGAATACGCCTCCCAGGAGAAAGTATGTTTGCTACCAGTCAAATGCACAGTTGTCTCCTCTGCATTGTCTTCCAGTTTTTTTCTTCGAGCAACATTTTTACAGAATTTAAAATCAAAAATGCATCAACAGAGATGAAATAAAGTGAATGTAAAATGGTCCCATTCCTATAGCTCTCCTTTGCTATGTTCAGTAGCCAGGAGACAGACCTGCATAAGCTCCTAATTACTCCTGCATGAGTAAAGATAGGAGTTAGAGGGGTGACTGTAAGGCCCTGGTGTCGACAGACTCTTTATCATGTCAGACCGGGCTTTGCACTCCCATACAAGTCATAGGGAGGTTACATGCACTTGTCAGCGATTTATGAATGATCTCCAAAGTGTCTTAAGCTAATGTTAAACTGATGCCAGCGACAAAAAGCCAAACTCCACCGATAACGGCCCTAAATCAGAAACCCTTTTCTCCAACTCTGCATACTCCTGGTTGATAGATTTGTGTGATGGTGCATTTATTTTATGGGCAAATAAGGCAGTATTGCTAATGTAAAATCATTTTTTATAACATTTTCTTATGTTTCTAAAGGCTGCAATTCGAAAAGAGCTTAATGAATTTAAAAGCACAGAAATGGAAGTACATGAAGAAAGTCGACAGTTTACAAGGTGACAACCTGTTTGTTTTTCCCATCTTAAAGCTTTATCATGTGTCAGCAAATATTATTATATACCACATTTGTTTTCATTTACCACATTTTTTTTTTTTATGGCATTGGACACTGGTGGGCATTATATACACTGCTCATGTTTTTCCTGGTCAAGTTAGGCTACACCCTTGTATACAAACCCTACCCACCCTACTGATACCCTCATCTGTGTTTAAGGCTTACATACATGTGGAGATGTTTCTTACAGTTCAATAAAGTCTTGAGAAACATCAGTTACATTTGTAACATTATATGTGTAATATGACCACACACTGATAGAATTGAGTTTTAGGTTAACTGATTTCTTTTTATTGTAAAATTTTTTTACTAAAGCAACTGCTAGTGTGAGTTACTATTACTTTGTTGCCTAATGCAAAGGTCAAATCTTTACTGAATACTATGAAAAATGTTCCCTTTTATGCAGGGTTGCCAACCCCAAATTAGATTATAAGTACAACTGCCCCAAAATCACTGACCGATAACATTTCTATTTATGGATACATAATGCAATACTATCACTTAACTACCTACATAATTAGTAGGATCTAATTTTCATCATAAATCTTTTGTAGCACCCTCTAGTGTGCTACTAGAATAGTGTAGGTAAATCGTGTATGACCCATGATAACTGTGTATGGCCCATGGTATCTGTGTGAGTCTCTGGTTAAGGTCGGGGTACTGCAGGTCAGGCTGGGTGGCTTTACAGGTTGGGACTCTTATCACCTCTACCTGGTTCTGGAGAATCATTGGAACTTTCCAGAACCCAGTGGGCGGAAGAGGTGGAGCCCTAATCTGCATGATTGTGGAAGTCCAACCAACCCCAGGTTTGGAGGCCCTGGTAGAGTGGTGGACCAGCCCATAAATATGGGAGAGTCAGGCTAGCTCAAGAGTCAGGTGGAAGATGGAGTGCTGAGGAGACAGTTGATGGCCTGGGAGGGGTCCCCTAGGTCTGGGGGGGGGGGGGCTGGTCTCAGGATGGCTCAGGAGGATCCATTCAGCACCATGGCATGAACTGGATCAAGGCCTGGGAGCAGTGTGAGCAAGGAGGACAGAGCAAGTACATAAGCACCCCCAGGAATTCACAAAGGAAAGGACTGCCATATGTAGCAAGTTTTCAAAAGACAGCGCTGTGCTCAATCCTTTATCCCTGTCTTGGGAGATCTTCAGAGCAGCCAGGAGGGCGGGTAGTATATGTGGAGCTGGGAACAGTCCTAAAGGGAAGAGGAGACATCTCTGCATGTAGTTTAATAGTCAAGCTGATTTTCAGAGGTGGGGTTGCGAGTCCTTCGCCCGTAAGGGGCTGTTGTTACTGATCTGAAAAGACTGACCGCTTTCATGGAAAAGAACAGTCCAGGATCTGTTTCTGTAAATAGGAAGGAAGTTGTCCCCCATGCACTGTTTCAGTCAACTTGGGCATCCCATAATCCCTATTACCCAATCCAAGTTATATTCCCTAATAACAACACAAAAAATAAACTCATGAACTGTTCACTGACTGTGGATGAAAGTGTGGAAAATGATTGTTGCCTGGTTGTGCATAGCTTGGGGGTACCATGAAACAACGGCCCGCATGAGGGTAGCGCTTCACCTTTATAAGCAGTAGTTTACTAATAATGTCACAAGATAAAACTGTTGTGTGACAATACCATGCTGTATTGTCATTACCCTGTAGAGAACAATGCAACATATTGTCTGGTGAGCTAATACCAAATACATTTTCAACTGTGCCTTACATTTAGACGTAATAAAGAGAATTGAAAATGCTTGATACACAAATGCAGTATTAAAAAGCTTTTAAATGGTTTTCCAGATTTAATTTTTTTGGCATTATTTTAGGACTGTCCTTAATTTTCTGAATGGTTGGCAGCTGAGAAGAACAAAGCTTAAGAGTTGCAGCCCCGTCCATTTTTTATTCCTCAGAAAAGTTCTCTCTGGTCTGTTGAAAATCAAGCAATTTATGAATTATTATTATTAATATTATACAGGATTTATTTAGCGCCAACGGTTTGCTCAGCGCTTTACAATATAATGGGCGACAATACAGTAACAATACAGTTCAATACAAGAGGGATTTGAGGGCCCTGCTCCTTGGAGCTTACAATCTAGGAGGGAGGGGTGAATGGTACAATAGGTAATAACTGTGGGGGATGGAGTGGTTGGAAAAAATAGAGGATTCCAGTATTAGCAGAGGGCAGGATAGGCTTCCCTGAAGAAATAGGTTTTTCAGTGATCGCCTAAAGGCAAGTAGAGTAGGTGATAGTCTGATAGATTGGGGTAGGGAGTTCCAGAGGATGGGTGGCGCCCTGGAGAAGTCTTGGAGATGAGCATGGGAGGAGGAGATAAGGGAGCTAGAGAGTAGGAGGTCTTGCGAGGAGCTGTGTGTATGGTTTGGGTGATATTTAGAGATAAGATCGGTTATGTAAATTGGGGCAGTGTTGTGGATGGCTTTGTATGTCATTGTTAGTGTTTTGAATTTTATCCGTTGGGCAACTGGGAGCCAGTGGAGGGATTGGCAGAGAGGGGTGGCAGATACAGAACGGTTAGTGAGGTGGAAGAGGAATCTACGCAGTCACAATTGTAGGATTGTATGACTCTGACAATTCTGCCTATATCCTGTTAAAAAAATAAATAAATAAATCACTATTTTTTGAGTCACCAAGTCGCCTGCTTTCCTAGTCTCTTTGCAGATCAGTAGCTGGCAATCCTGTTGAATGGGCCAGTCAGTGCAGCTAATTTATTAAAGAGTAGAAATGGTTACTTCACCTACTGGATAATGTGATGTGTTCAATTTACATATCCAATTATGTCCAGGTCAATTAAAAACAATAATAGGACTTTTCTCTGCGCATGATTAGATAATTGAAGTTTTCTTAAGTGAACATCCTCTACTCTTTAAGTAAAGCAACATCGTTTTGTCAACCTCTGACTTTATTCTAGGTGTATAATTTAGCAGCTCCTCAGTTTCCTCTGACAATCCTATAAAACGAGAGTGTTCACTAGATTCCAATTCAGTATTTTATAATCTCACCTTGAATCGTTTTTTTTTTTCTTTTGGTATAGATTTCACCGTCCATAGGGAAACAAAGTAGATTGCAAGTTATCATGGAAGTTTATATTCAGGAAATGGGAATTTCCCAATAGATCATCATTATACTGAATCTTCTCAACATGGGCACATTTATGAATATCATGAAGGAAAGCAAAAGGATGAATTACTGGAAAAAAAACAGCAGCCTTTGAATGTTCTAGATTCCCCATCATTGCAAAGGTGAACTTTGGCTAATATGATAGAAAATCTGAACTAACCATATAGCTAGGATTCATGTGTGCATTGTAGGGTTGTCTGGCATGAGGTTGGCTCCACCTTTTCTCTCCATTAAAGTGTTACATTGCTTCTGCCCAATTTGTCAAAGCCAACACTGAGCAGCTGTATTAATTACAGAGGTTTTCAATTTTGGCATATGTCTGCTACATGTAACATCAGTGAGAATAGCTGCCAGCTTATGTTTCAGAAGACAATTTACTCTTGGTAATCATAAGAAGGATTATCTCATCAGAGTAATAGCTGTAACTGTTTTCTTATTAATATTATAAATATTTCCTAATGAATGGATGAACAGATTTGAAGTATAAATTACTCCTGGAAATTTTAACGCATTTCTCTGTATAGACTTTGGAAGGTGCCCAGAATCATCTGCAATTGCACTGTGCCTGGAAGAAAATGAAGTTCTTAATGATTTTGAAAACTCAAAACATGTTCTTCTTAGCAAAAAAAGATGTTGTGCTGTAACCAATGCAGATCCGGTGTTTAAACTTGAAGACTAAGACAGTCTGATGACAGTCACTCCACACTACCAGGCTTATGGTAATAATGGCTGCTCTGTCTGAACCACAAGAATATCAGCACATGGATCAATAACTATCTCTGACATTCACTCCTTTCTGTAAAAATGTGAACTGAAGCATGTCTATGACAATGTAACTAATTTTATTTAATTGTATATTATGTATGTATTCCTTAGCGCCCTGTGGTTATCTGCAATGTTTACACTAAAAATATATGATACGATATACATAGCACTTAACTCTATTGAAGGGCAGAATAGATATAACTATACATACCATGTTTAACATAAAATGTGAACAGATATATTGCTGACACCTAAAGGAGGCCTATTAGTTTGTCCATTACCAGTTTTAAGTGTATATTCTTAAAAGAAAGCAAAGTTTATCCCAAGCATGTATTAGCTGAGATGCATCTTCTGGAAAACTGAAGAAATCCTTCAATAAAGCAGTTGATTCTAATGTTAGTTTTAGGTCCTGTTCACATTAACATGTAAGTAATGTGAAAAGTGCACTTGACAGGTGATAACTGAACAAATATTGAAGACAAAGTACAAAAAAGTATAGTAACCCCACAGCAACCAGTCAAATTCAGCTTGTATATTTGTATTGTAGCAATACAAATAAAAGCTGATTTGGAAAAACTAAGAGCTAGTTTCACTGTTTTTGGAAATGTGTGATTATAGTGGAACTCCTAGCAGATATAACATAATCACGTCTATTTGGGGTTATTTATCAATTATTACTAATATAAAATATGGCAATCTGCCTTTATAATATCATCCCACAATTCTCTGAATAACAGATATCAGATTGAGAGTGGGTAATTGTGCACTAAAAGCAAATTTGGCTCTGTGGCATTGGGCAGTGTTGTCAGTCTGTTATGTTTTTAAACTCTGCTAATACGTGACCCAGTGATCAGATAACTAAGAAAAGTGCAAAACTGCAATAAGTATTATTGGTGTCACCGTTGGTGGCTTGGCATTATATTTATGAAAATTACAAGTTACAAACTTCTTAGCAGGTGTAACTTTTACATGTATGTTAACAGCATATTAGCTGTTTGCCTGGAGTTCCTCTTTAAATGCACAGTTGTGTACTCTGTGACTAAACTGGATCAATATCTAAAAGAAATCACCCGAGCAATTAAAATCCCATTCATTTTATTACTTTTGTAGTGGCTCACAGAAAAGTGAACATGAAGCTAAATTCTACAGAACCTTCATTTTGTAGATTCTGCTTCTGAGCAGTTCTGTGTAACATACAGGTCTGCTTCAATGAAACAAGCATGCTTTACAGAGAGTGGGTAGGGTATGGAACACTGAAGAAATGTATTTAACAGCTTGAAAAAAAGCAGATCATGTTAAAGTGGAACTAAACCCATTGATTTAACAGTTTCAAAAACCAGTTAAACTGGCCATTCATTATACAATTTTCTTGTTCAATTTACTTTAGATTTACCTTCAACTATCTAGTGCAAGGACCTGTCTGAATGCATACAAATTGAAAGTGTTTAGGTTTGACTTCATGTGGTTTTGGTAAATCTAAGGATTCGTTCACATCAAGGCATTTTGTATTGTGGGCAGAATTGTAGTGATTCTGCCCGTGATCACAAATCACTCTGAAAAGCTGACAAATGGCAACACACTTGTTCAGATGCACCTAAATGCAGGTGCAATTCTGCCGCGATAAATCACAACAAACCTCAGCACATAAAGCTTGTCGCCAAAAAAAGGCGCAGGAGCTTAACGCAATGAAGTTTGAGAAATTCATCGTAACTATTGTGACAGTATTGTATTTTGAGTGCCATTGAAAATGAATGGCACCTGAACAGGCGTGGTGCGATCTGTCAGTTCTGCAGAGCGTTTTAGGATCTGCCTGCAATACAAAACGCCTAGGTGTGACTGGAACCTAATGGAGAATTGTACAAGAAAATTGTATACTTTATGGCCAACCTAACATTCAAGGCATGCCAGCAATGCTAACTGTCACATTTGCTTGTGCTGTCAACCAAATTGTCAAAAAACCTCAAATGACTGGAGTCATAACTGATCTCATGTGCAGCACAAAGGCAGTTGCAGATCAAACCAAAGCTAAGATGGCAAGTTCCTTGGCTTGAAAGAAAAAGAGGGTTTAGTTCTGCTTTGAGGGCCAGTTCACACTACAAAAATGCACTCTGGATGTATTCCATGTTTTTGCTTACAGTTAACACCACACGGAGTTCCGGTGCAGTTTTGATGCAGTTTGCCATGTTCCATTATGTTTCTATGCAGAAACAATGCAGCATGTTCTACTTCTTTTTCTGAACCGGAAACTGACTGGAACTGACTGCACTAGTGTGAACCAGGGCCATTGGAATTCATGGAAAACACTGTGCATACATTTTTGATGCAGAAAAAAAAGCGCACTGAACTGCATCTAGTGTGAACGAGCCCTAAGGGCTCGTTCAAACTTTGGTGCAGAGATGTCAGTTTTTCTACATGCGTTTTGCAGGGGCACAACTAAATCAGTTGTTATCTATGTGTCCTGTTCACACCACAACACTGGGATCATGTGCAGACTTTTTCTAGGGGGTTCTGCAGGGATCTGCAGCGTGTATAAAACTCATTGAAACGCGCATGAAAACTGATGTAAACTAATGTTTCTGCAAGTGAAACCTGTGTGTCCGTTTCAGTTTTTCTGCACGTATAGTGTGAACGAGGCCCAGGTCATCTGACATGCAATAGCTTTGCCATGACTTTGGGCCATTGAATCTACTGACAGGTGCTTTTCTTCAGCCTTTCACACCTGTACACTCTCTCAGACAGGTGGTAATGCTTACCGCTCTCTAAAAAGTGATTTGAGCTGGATTGCTTTTCATAGGGCAGTTTTGCCGAGCCTGGCAGGCATTCAGGAGGCACTACTTCTGCCCCCTAATGCCTGTTTTTGTTTTGTCTTTGTTTTTTAACTTTTCTACTTTTTAAATTGCCAACCTGCAAATTTTATATTGTGTGCCTGAACCGCAACTGCGAGCCAAACGCTTGCGGTGCAGCACCATTGATCTCAATGGGCGAGTTTAACTGTCAGTGCCACCTGAAATTCTGCAGAATTTCACTGGGCAGCTTGTTTTTACTGCTCTATGGCCACCAGTGTGAAAAGAGCCCTTACTTATGCGTTCCTGGTCGATGAAAGAAATTCTGACTTTAGAGTTTAGGCCTGCTTTATATCATTGCAGGTGTGTTCCACAGCAGCATTCAATGAGCCTTTGATATTGTAATGACATGTGGTAGATTATGAATAAACTCAAGTGAGTTATTACAGTAATCCATAGCAGTCAGATAAACATTTTCTGAATTGTTATAAATCACTATACTTTACACATCATCTTGGGATTGTCTAATTCAATAACTATTTTTTCTATATTCAAGTCACAGAGAAGAGGCAGTAGTAAATGTCTTGGAGTTTTTTAATTTTTTTTTTTATTGTAAAAAGCTTTACCGTTGTGCCATTTGCTATAAACATGGCCAGTTTATCTGTTTACCTGCCAAATTCAAATCAAAATCACAATGCTTTAACACTGTACAATCTGTGTCTTACAAACCATGCTAATGCCTGAATTATCAGTATTAGAATTGATTTTCTATTATGAGTATGTATATAAAAGATGTAGTTAGTTGTGTTTTATTATTTTAAAGGATAAAAATAAAAAAAAAAAAACAAAACTAAAAGGTATGAGGCATTTTAGCCTTAATTACTGGCATTACCAGTATGCAAAATGATTGTGTGTTCTTACGCACAATGGAGAAGTGATTAAAAAAAAAAACTTCTTTAAGAGATTCATGCACATGAGAAAAACATGACAATCTTCCTTGATGGTTTTAATTCTAAAGTATGACAAGGTATAGAACAGGGTATATAATTTATGACATCTGAGTACTATTGAAAGATCTATTTCTAAAATAGTCTCTGATTTGTTTGTTTCTTTAGCAAGATAAAAGTACAAAACATTAGTGACATGGAAGTCATTATACAACTGATATTTACTGAAATATTGATTTTGAACAAACTGCCTCCTACCTGAGTCGGTGTTTAGAGTGTCTTCATAGGTAGATGTATTTATGTTTGTGGGCATATTGATGTAATGAAACCAGTGACAGATCCACTGTATTTGCACAGCATGATTTCTAAAATATGCAGTTTGTTTTGAGTATTGAAATTGTACAGCACACAAAATAGCATGTAGACGTTAGTCAA